GTGGACTTCAACTCCCAGAATTCCCCAGCCAGCTATGCTGGCTGGGGGATTCTGGGAGTTGAAGTCCACACGTCTTCAAGCGACCGAGGTTGAGAAACACTGTTCTATTCTGTTGAGCTAAGTAAAACTTAGAGAAGTACTGGGTTATCCTGCTGGAATGAAAAACAACATCAAGACATTTGGCCCTTTAAAGGCAGGTCCATTTTTAGTCAGCCTAAAAAAGGCAAGTCAGCCTAAAAAATTAAAGCTCTGTTCACATTTGCACCGAGCAAGAAAGTTCACTGAGTGACTTCCACCAGTTCCCCTCTTTAAGTTCCAACAATCCATCTTTCCTCAGGTAGCCATGGTGGAGGTACAGCTGGAAGATTACGACTACCCATGGCAGCTACTGGTGGCCTTCAGCGCCTGTACAACAGTGCTGGTGGCCGTCCACCTCTTTGCTCTCATGGTCAGCACTTGCATCTTGCCCAACATCGAAGCCGTCAGTAACATCCACAACCTCAACTCGGTCAATGAGTCTCCCCACGAGCGAATGCACCACTATATTGAGCTGGCTTGGGGCTTCTCCACGGCCTTGGGGATCTTCCTCTTCCTGACTGAAGTGGTGTTGATCTGCTGGGTCAAGTTTATGCCTGTCGGCAACATGGGGACTAGCAGAAAGTGCTGTGCTCCAGAATTGGTCCACGATGGTAACGCCACAGTCTCTACAGACAGCTCCGGCTGGAATGCTGCTATGGCCTCCACGGTTATTATGGTTCCAGTTGGCGTCGTGTTCATTATCTTTGCTTTGCATTTCTACCGCTCCTTGGTGGGGCACAAAACTGACCGGCACCAGCAAGAGCTAGAAGAACTTAACCAGATCAAATATCAGTTGGACGGAGAAGCCACTGCTCTGCAAGTAGTGTGAATCGGCAGCCTCATGTGAACTGCAACTGGCATGAACCTTTAGAGGGAAAGGCCCTGTCAGTTGTATCCTGATTTTGTCTCGATGGAGCAACTGTTAAGTAACTGCCACTGTTGGAATTTAACCCAAAAGCTGTGATGGTTTTGCAGGTTCCCTTGTGTTGACCCCAACGTTCAACAACATTTGTTTGCATGTCCTGGGAAATCATTTTTAAACCCAGGACAACGTGTTAAAACGGGCTTCTCCTGAAAAGCAGGGGTGGAAATCGGGGGAGCCTTCCCTGGGGAGCTTCTCCATCTGGTAGACTTTTGATCATTGGGGGGAAAAAAGGACAGTTTGAGTCTCTCCAGTGGGTGAGACTGTTGCTTTGTTCTTTAGCTGCAACCGATTCAAACTTGGTTTTCTGCAGAACTGGAAAAGAGAACCAAAAGATCTTTGGTATTGCTGAGATTTCAAAATGGGTGGATTTCAAAAGGTTAGTGCGGTCCACTCATTTGGTCTTTTGCTTCTCTTTTCATCTCTCTACATCTGGTAAGAATGGTAGAGCTCGCCAAACAACATTGGTTGGGCTAACCTTTGAGCAGGTGTTGAAGCCATGACATCCCAAGAAAAGGGCCTACCTTCGTGGCCTTCTTAGGACTGAGGTTCTGAAGCTGATCTCCACTCAGCCTTTACTCTGCTGTTCCCCTTGCTGCTTTTTTGACAGTTAATCTGCAAGTACCCCTGATGCCAAGCCTTTTGATCAATGGGACGGGAGACGCCATGTGTCCAGAAGGCCTGACCGTGAATTCTCAAGGGGGCTAGGAAGTCATTGCATCTTGTGATTTGGCATTGCAAATCCAGCTTCCTCCAGTCGGTCCCTTTCCCCCTTCTTGGGACCCCCACTTCCCAAATTCACAGGCAGCGCATACGATCCTAACACATCTGGAAGGCATTAGGTCAGTATTTCTCAACCTTGGCGGCTTGAAGATGTGTGGACTTCAACTCCCAGAATTCCCCAGCCAGC